TTTTGAACAATACGCGTGTAAACATTCATATACTTTGAACCATCAAAAGCCTGACAATCAGAAACGAAGAAGTGATGAGGTACTTTCTGCCCTGAAACATACGACGAATAGTAGGGAGATCTTGTCACTTCATTAGAAATGCGCCAAAAGCCTTTTAGAGAACAAGCGATATAGCCGTGTTTCTTTCTGGCTTCCGGATTAATTATGAATATGTTTTCGTGTATAATATAAATCCAGTTCTTTTCCAAGCTGCATGTAAGAGGTATGACAGGTCGAGAGTACTCACCAACTGTCGGATCGTCCAGCATTAAAACTGGTATTCCGTATTTTGGTTTGGATACGGGTAGAATTTGCGACTGATAATCAACGCTTGATAGCCGTAAACATATTTTCCACATAATCAACATCGCACAAATGTACAACGTCAGACGTTTAACTCTGAAGCATCTAATAGGCACAATATGGAGTACAGGCAAGTATCTGACGGTTGAGAGATTCATCTTGACAAGAAGACTGACGAGATCTGGAGTGAAAATCCTGCACAATGCTACTAAATCTTTTTAAAAATGCTGCCTAACCAGTATGTCACAGAAGCAATAACTCAAAAACGAATTTTTCATACATCTAATTTTTTTACCTTCTCTGTACCTGCTGTGTAATCAGAGTTTTAAACATCCCCGCGATCATGTGATTGTGGGCTCTGCAGTGTAACGTAGATGGTGACAGGGTGATTCGTTACTGACAATGCGTTCCCATAATTTTTTTCGACATTCACACACAATACAGAACTACGGATCCTGAAGACCGACCGAGCTTCGTCTGAAACGTCAGTGCTTGTTGCAAGATGTTCTTAATTAACAATTTTATGAGTTGTTATCCTGTCTGTGATTTGTCCAAACACAAAGTTATCTCCCGCATAAAGAACTAATGCAGTATTTTCAGTGATACACTGCATAACGTAATTTACTCGTCAGTTTAAAACGCACTCGCTCAGACATTGCGTAATTTTGTGAATATAAGTGTTCACGCAAATGAATGTGTCCTTTCCATGAAAATGACTAAGCAGGGTTATGTATACACAGCGCATACAATTTAGTTAATTGAATGACTGATCAATACTGAGGTTACGGCCAACATTTCACGGACCTTCTTCAAGGGAAGGAGGTTGGTTGAGTTTAAAAATTTTTCGTCATTTCCAGCGGTAGGTACGTTTGGAGTTTTCATCCTTGTTGCAATTTAAGTGGTCTCTAAAAGTCAGGAACGATAATGTTTATCGAATCCTTGCAGAATTCGAATTATTAGTCAAAGATAAAAAGCTACCAGTACCGCCTTGGCCGGTTCAACTCATTCCTTTCTTCGATGATGTATATTCTGACTGGTGAGGTTCAGGGAGCTACTATATTCCTGCGCTACTATTTCCAATTCCCAGAAGATTTTTTCGCATTGATCCCTGACTTAGCTGGGGATAACGTTCTGTCTTCTTCTCGGGCAGTTCTTTACCACGTGCCGTTCACACTCGTCGAAGATCATCCATCTTCTCTAGCTGCAAAAGTTGTCTTTCTTTTATGAGTGACGGTGTTCCCCTTTCCTCTATGTAACATTCCCCACGGTTACGCGGTAATTTGTAAATCCAGCTTAGCAAAATATTGTTCCCCGAATTACGTAATAAAGTAATAAGTTCATTAAAATTTTGACATTCCGCATTGATATTATATTTAAAGTTAAGCTTCCTTGGTAACTTTTCATCAAAGAACTTACTAAAGTTTACAATTTAGTATTTTAGTTTGAATATAATTCGTTACAAGTTGATTTAAAGTGACTTATTTTACACTTTATATCAGAACGAATTTAACGCGATAATTATTGCTGTCATATCAGGCTCATTCAGTGTTGTATTTCTTTTTTAAGAAACTCACTACCTCACGGCGTTGTGCTCTATTTGATTATTTGAGTTATGGCTTAGATGTTGATTAGTGCAAGAGGCTTACGATAAACTTTACTGTTCAGCAATTACGAAGATTAATTATTAAGACGTCAACAAAAGGTGGACCAAAATTATTTTCTCGTTCAGTGGTTAATTCAACATATTGAGAAAAGAAGCAATTAAGAGGGTAATGCGCTTTGTTTTCATCACCACGAGCAAATGACAAAAATATCGTGAACAACAGTCGTACCACTTGCACCGATCAGTAATCGGCTACGAATCGCGCCAGGCACGACACTCCCGCCATTCCTCGCGGTTAGGAGCCTTCTACCTCCAGGAGAGGCCTTCCAGGATTCTGATGCAATCTTCCAACCGTCGTGGTGGACGACCGCAAAGGCATCAGTTGTCGATCATCTCCCGTGGGTAAGCCGAGCTACTTGTCTGGTCCACCAAGGCCTCTTTCTGAGTTTGACGACGACATCGTTCAATCCCACTCGCTCTCTGATCATAATACTGGAGATATGATCGCAACGCGAAATTCCAAACATTTCTTCCCATGATTCACTTCGAGACAAATAGCTGGCGCTCTTCAGCTTTAGTAAGTGCTCACGTCCCACAGTCATGCGACACTGCCGGAAGGACGACTGAATTGAAGCATTGGGCAAAGTTTTAATATGCGATGTTGTTGAAAGGGACGTCTTTCTTGTCCCATTAAACGGGCGCCAATCAGCCCTCTTTCATCGTTGAATCTAGACAGCCTGATCAAGCCGCTTGCTCATTTCATGACCCGTTAAAATGTATTTCTAGACTTAAATCTTTTCGCTATTTCCCGGATCTTAGGTACGTCTGGCTACCTTCGGCATTAACTCCCGGATTCGCAGACTATCCTTTGTACGTTTGCTCTGTAGCTTTTGCAGCATTTTTTGCATCTGAGTGGCGTTTCCACAAACAGTACACGTCATCATCACCCTTAAATAGCTAAGCTATTCAATATTGATGTTCACACCACGAACGACATTTCCAAACACGCAGCGAAGAGTTTGGGGGTGAGGGTTCTTCCAGAACCTTCTCTACGGAAATCCAGAGGCTGTGTCGAAGAGCGTGTTGTTCGGGATGCCATGAACAACGTCAGCATGCTTTGGGAAAATCCTAGGAGACAGATCTGAGTTCAGGTTATGAGTCACATTATAAAAGTGTTTCATGAAGATGTTGGCCATACTGTGGAACGCATGTTACCATTAATTTAGTTTGTTCGAAGAACCCACCACTGAAGGAGAAATAATTGCTCTGTACCATGCATAAAGTTAAGTTTGTGATAGAATTAACTGACAAATTAGCAGGTTTTTTTTGCGTTCAAGTCTACCGATGACTTCAATGGCAACATCAGCAAAACAGCACTAAAGAAGCAGAGTAAATTAACATCGTAACTACCACGTTTTATGCTGTTCTCAGTATAACCACCAATGGGCGAATGAAATACTCAGTGCCGTTTCCTTTATCTTCCATCCGACCTGTATTAGTTATGGGTCAGATGCCAATGCCTCCTGAGCATCGTCTTTTTTTGATATCTGCATCCACCTCCGACCAAGTAGTTCGACAGTCGAACAGTCCGAGCGTATCCTTTGATGACCGAAAGGACGTCTGTAGTCTAGTGGAATCCATTTTGCAACTCTTGACGTCCACCGCTTGTCTGTCTGACGGATGATCCATCTTCCCTTGGCACCTCATAAGTTAGAAATTGCGTCTATTTAGCCAGTCCGTTGTCAAGCCTGTTTCTGGTATGCGTCCCATGCACTGCCATCGAGCCATGGACTGCTTAAATGGCTGCCTTAAGCAAGTAGAATAAAGGGGATGATGCAACGTTGCAGTGAAACCTGCTGTAATGATTTCTAGCAGTCACACACTATCGCAGTATTGGTGCGTTCACAGTGTGATCACAGAGAGGCGAGGGACCTTGCAAGTTATTCGCTCCATCCGCTTTTGCGTGGACATCTATTTGCTCTGGATGGCTTCAATGGCAGAGCACCACTCAGCGCGGAAATATGCAATACTGAAATAAATGCATAACATATCGAAAATCAGGTTTCAGAAATTTTAAGAGGCAAATAAAAATTTACACATTTGCCTGATATGTTTTTTCATATCTGAATTGGGCGCTGTTGTGACTGACAACCTAAGTCCGTGTTAGAGGATCACAGACTGACATGAAGCTCGCCTACTGTTCAAAAAGTAAGTCAAATGGACCGCTCCGTAAACGAAGAAAACAGTTTAAAGCAATTTTTTGTTTTTCATTTCTTTGCAAAATTCTGGTACTTTTGAAGGTTGATACTGAGCATTTTCCATAATACAGCTCTACCAGCCATGGCAGGCCATTTGCAAAGACCGTAAAACTGTTTGACGTTTATTTCTAAAACTCACTGCAATTCTTTCTTTCCTTTCAACAAGTATACGATTCAATGGCCCTGAACACAACGAACAGACAGAAGGTAGAAGTTTCGACTTTTCAGCCAAACCACACTGGCCACTTCTTAGAATAGCCAACGCAGTTTGCCTAAACCATTCAGCGGATCCAGCAAAGACGTTACTTTCTGTCCATTCCTTGTATCCAGAACCGTCGAAACGTCGTTGATCTTGCTTGATCCTATAAGAAATCTTTTAGAATAGTTTACATGAAGAACTCACTCCAGGAAGCGCTCTTTTAGCAGCCTTCAAATCTTCCAGCACGACGCTCCTACATCTTTGGTTAGTCAGTCAAACTGTCCATTCGTAAGTGACTTGTCTCAGAAGAACGGATTGGAAAGGCTATGCTGTTGCATAGCATACCAAAGAACCTCGCCAGACAGAGAGCGTAGAAGCACAATTAATGGCACAGAAACTAAATGGAGAAAGGAAAAGATCTTGCAGACGCAGAACGACAAAAAGCCAAAATGAACAGACAGGAGAAAATCTTGCGACATTTTAGCATAGCCTCCCCATTTCATAAACTGTTAAAAAAGTAATAATGCACATCTCTAAGCGTATCTGTTTTGTCACAAGATAATCCAAATTCGCAATTTTAACATCATATATTTAGCAGCGCGGTCGAAAGCTAAACCAGAACATCGGATTTGTTTTTTATCATAATCTCAATTCATTAGCACTTTATGGCAGTGCTAACACAAGTATAAACACTTCCATTAAATGTCATGACCCTAAAACCAAACTAAACCTCGTCGTTCAAACGGCTTAAGTAATACTAAGGTAGATATATCCCACAGATAGATCGACATCATGAGATGCACGAATGTTGCGGACTTTTGATCCGAATTTAAGAGTGGTCGTCTGTTCCATGGTTTCGAACACATCTACTTAAACAATACAATCTGTATTTACACAGATGCATATGTAATGCATACTAATTACGTGTTGAAATACATATCAATTCGTTGCCTGCTTTGATAATAGTTAATGCTCCTACGATTTCTGTGCATGGTTCAAGGCAAAAACAACTGTTGCCTTGAACCATCCACAGAAATCTGACAACCATCAACTACGATTATTAATGCTTAATAACTTTAATTTAAAACCAGTGCCTAGATTTGGAAAATTTCTTTGCAAGCACATCTTTAAAGGAATCCCGGATATTCAAGAAAGGGCTACATAGCACATTAAAATCATGACTACAACAAACTACAACCCCTTTTTAATAGAATAAAACGATGTTTGTTGGAAAGAAAGAACAGCGCAACTGTCTCTATCGCATGTAGTAGTCAATGACGGCAGAAAAGAGCCCGAAGCCCGCGGCGCCGAGGAGGCCGGGCTTCACGCCGGCCCTAAGACCGATGAGACCTCCGGTTACAGCGCCGGACAACGTGCCGTTCTTCCAGTCAGACTTTCCACGAGCCGATTCGATTATGCATTCAAATCCGGCGAAC